GATCTTCTCCCAACTGTTTAGTAAATATTTCCCATACTTGGACATTTGAAGAGAGGCTTTTGAATTTCTGGCCTGTTCAAACCCACCTTCAGATTCAGAAAGGTCGGTTTATGTCATAGGAAAATCTGGTTTCTTCCTTTGCAAACAGTGGAGTAAAGGATTTGTCTGGCAGCTCTGCCATGGCCTGTTCTGTGCATTCTCCCTTAACACTCTGATCATCAGAGGAGCAATTGACTCTCTGCCTCTCTTACAATACCTTATTTATAATATCTTTCACTTACCACATCCATTTTCTCTTTTATTGTCAAGCAGGGTTTGATTTACAAAACATTAGAGATTCTTTCTGTCTAAAACAGAGATTCTTCTTCTCTGGCAAGTTTCAACAGGATGCTGATGAGGTAGGTTTGTCCTGAAGAGCAACAACATTGTTTGGAAGAGAAGGTGCTTCCAAGCACATTTGAAAACTCTTTTGAGAAACTGACAAAATTATAGGCTGTTAATGCTACAAGGCTGTGCATGTATACAGAAGTGTCAAAAGTCTCTCCTCTGGGGCCTGCTGACAAGGAGCAGAAGTGTGGACAAAGAGCCTCAGGTTCAAAGGTTGTTCCAGGCTGGGAAGTTAGCTGGTAAACCATTTACCCAACATGCTTTCCAAACCCATAGTTCCATCTTTTTGTTATCCTCTTAAATAAAAAAAAAATAAAAAAGAAAAATGAAGAAAATCAAACCAAACTAAACAAAAACTGCAAACAAACAATTCCCCCAAAAAACCCCCAACACAAACTAGCAAAAAAAAAGAAAAAAAAAAAAAAGTGTGGCTACAAACTGTTGTTGATTGACCAAATTTCTAACAAGAAAGAAATTGAAAAATATTATACAAATCAGTTCATAGGGAATATATTTAACTTGAATAAAATTGGAGATTATACCTGTATCTTCAAATCTAAAATGCATTATTCCATAGTTCACACACAGCCAAGCAAATTTGATTCTGATTGGTCTCCTCCTTTTCTTCCGGTAAATATTCTCGAATATTTTATATGAAGGTATAATAGTAGAGCTTTTTTATTAGCAATAGGTAGTAAAAAAAATGGTTGTTGTGTAGCTGAGATTCAATGCTCATTCCATGCATTTTTAATTTTGGATCTTTTGTTTTAACAATCTGGAATTTATTTTTTGTTTTGTTTTAATGATATGTGGGAAAGCACTAGGGGAGTATTTCCTATAGTTAACATTTCTTTCACAATCATACACTCATAGAATCTTGAGTTGAAAGGATGTTAAAGATCATCTAGTTCAAACTCCCCTGCCATGGGAGTGTCATATGCAATTTTAGTGCTGATCAGGTTCTAAAAGATTTGATTATATAATTAGCAGTTTTGAAACCTGTCTCCATGTCCAAAAGTCTGGCTGAATTTATATATGAAGTTTTATAGAACTGCCTTTGAAAATCTTGGCTCTTGCAGCTTTAAAACTCAAGTGGAAATTGTTTTAGAGATCTTGCAAGATGCATAGGACTTCAATTTTTGCTAGAATATTGTCTTTCATAACACTTGACAATTAAGTTTCCTTTATTTGCTGAATTGTTGAATTTAAATTGGTGCATTCATATATTTTAAAAACCCTTACAGAATCACTGCGCTTTTGTCAAGGAAATTGTAGTTTTATAGAGTTGCCTTTTTTGGAATTGGTGACTGTGCATCACTATTATCTTTCTATAACAGAGATAAAATTTGATTAAGTTGAAGGAGATTTGGGAGCACTTGCATTTTTCATAGAGATACTCACTCCTATTTAGTCCAAGAAAATGAATAAGTTTGTTGCTTGTCCATCTAGGTCTTAGGTAAAGAGTTAGAAGTAAGCTCTATAAATCTCTGATGAATACGATACTTATACAGATTCAGAGACCTTTCTGTCTGTGATCATAAAAGCATGTGATGCAGAAGGAATGCATACTCTTACTGACTTTTTTTCCAGACTTGGTCTCTACAACATCCAGTAGTAAAATTGCTACAGTTGGTTGGTTGTTTATTATTTATTTTTTTTTTTAGTCCTGAAATAAAAGCGCAAAAAATAAATTTGTGGGAGGCATCTCCTCCAAACTGGTTATGTTCAGCTTTGCTTAATGCACTGCTTTTATTGTTCTAAGGTGAAGAAAAGCCAGTGGTAGGCTTTCAGGTGAATTAAAAATAAAACTATTGTTCTATTTAATATCCGGTTTATTTGTAAACAGGTAAAGATGCTTATATTTGCCACCTTTCCTCTGTTACGTAAAATCCTCATCAACATCCTTGTTTTACATAACAAGGCAGGCCTGGACTAAGTAAAAGCAAACACACAAAAACTCTGATCTTCCACTAATCTATATGATGGAGACTTAATGCTGAAGTAGCCCTACTTTTATTTACTAACTTTTAATGGATTCTTTTTTCTCTCACATTTGGCCTACAGCTTTCTAAATATACCACCTTCTAATTTATTCACATTGTCAGTTTTATTTCTCCATGTTGTGTAAGAGAATGTCTTCCTGTCTGCCCTGAACCTTGCATGGGGTATTTTCATTTGAAACCTTCTTGTATTAGAAGAGAAGCTTTAGTGTTTTGTACCTTATTCATCTTTTTGCTATTCCTGATTTTCTAGTCTTGTATCTGGCTTGCAGCCCAAGCAGATATAGTCAATTTAGATATTTCTTATATCAAAGTTGTTTCACATTTCAAATCATCTTACTTGTTTTTCTCCTATGCTTTTTTCATTTAGTTTTACATCTCCTTTTAATTTGGGAAGAACAGAACTGCATGCACTGTTCACTGTAGTGTGCCTCACAATAATAAACTCTGTGATTTATGAAGTTGTTCTGTCCTCCCTTCCTTTCCTAGTAATTTCTAGCCTTCTATTTACTTTCTAAACTTATCTGATGTTTTTATAGTATTTTTCTAACCCCAGCTTCCTGTTTATGAATTATGTCAGCCTATCTATTTATGAGTATGTTGAACACCACAGACCCTAATGATGCTTTCTCTTTGAAAAAAAAATTCTAGACGAGGAGCTATAAAATTTGGAATGTGAGAAAGTCAACAAATGCTTTAATTTCTGTGAACACAGGCCCTTTAATTTCTGTGAACCATGTGGGCTTGCTCATGTGATTATATATACATGTTTCACAGGACAATTTAATTCAAAACCATTAAATTGATACAAAGGATACAACAACAAAAAATCTGTGACAGATAGAGCATGCCTGCTATTGAGTATTGCAAGGAAAGTACCGGTGAGAAGATCTCTACAATGACAATTTGTCAGAATAAGTCTTGTGTTTTTCTGAATAGCAAGAATCTCCCTGCCTCTCCTTAACAGAAACTGTTTAGTGGTAGAAAAGATTGGTATTGCTGAATGAAAAATGGGAACAGCAACTCGCTTGGGAGTTTTGGCTTAGAATTAGTTTAGTGAATGGGAGAATGTAGACAGGTTAAGTAATAGGAGTGATGAGAGATTTATTGAACTCTCTTCATCTGAATAGATTAATGGAATAGAATCACAAAGCCCACTAGATTTTGAATGAATTAAACATAAAATACCTAATCTCCTAATACTAATTCAGTGTTGATTTCATAGTTCAAGGAAGAGGAAAAGAGATTTAAAGATTCTCCCTGCTACTTTGAGGCTGAAAAGGACCAACATTTATATGAAAGCATGTTGTATGTGAGATGAAAATGCTGCCAACAAAGACTGGGATTCCAAAGGTTTGAAAATTTGTGGTGTTAAGAGAGCTGAGCAAATGTTGTGTTTCCCTTTCCCCAACCATTAGAAAGACCTGTACTGATTGCTTGCAAGTGTTTTTGGTTTGTTTTGGTTTTGTTTCAAATGTTTTCTCTTGCCTATTTTTTGAATGGTTTACGTCTTTATTCTCTGTGGATACTTTTGCATTTCAAGCTGGGACTAGTGCTGCTTTTACCTATTGCATGAGAACTCCAACATAAGCTGCATCATAAGCTGCCTTCTCATATCTCAATTACTTGTGTGCTTTCCTTATTACTTGGTTGTCCTCCCTTGCCTCCACTTGACGATGGATTTAAGCTTTTGACTCAGTCTCAAAATGCCTCTTACTCCTCCACTTAGATCCAGACTTAACCTTCCCTTTATGGCTGGAGTCCACGTGGGCTTTATCATTGTATTTTTCTTGTAACCTTTCCACAAAGGGAAATTTTGTTCCACTGCAAAGGTCTTCTGTTGTTTGAATTGGTATTCTTGATGTGATAATATCCTAAGTTCAGGGTCATACAGTGCAAAGCACGTTGCAGAAATGTGCAGCGATGACAATAATGGTTTCTGTTGTGGTTTATTTCAGCCTTTTGACAGTAGGTCTCCCACATTAGAATCTGAGGTCATCATTATCTCTCCTTTTCATACTTATGTTTATCTACTGAAATGGCATTCTTTATTGCTGTATAAACTCATCTTATAATGGGAATTTTCTTGAGTGTTTTTTATATAATTATGAAGATCACAGGCTCAGTAATAGGATGATGTTTAATTAAAATAATTGGTGACCTTAAGCAAAATATTCTAGATGGTTTTTGAGAGCTCCTTCTGTGATCTCTGTGACCCACCAACATCACTAATTTATCATTGCTAATTTATAGACTAATAGTCTGCTAGAGATTGGGACATACTTTGAAGTTGTGGGCAATAAAAAAAATATTTATTTGTTCCCAATAACTGACTTCCTTTTCTGGGATTAAGGCAGTGGTACAGTGTCACTAGTCTAGATTGCTGTGTGAGCTCAGCTGATCTGAATTTTAGGAAGGGATGCACTATTTCTGAGGCTATATTTAAAAAAATAGTTTTTCTGTCAAACTACTGATGTAAGACTCCTGAAGAAGTCTTAATCAAGGCTCAGTGCTGCCTGGGTCTATCAAAAGCATATGCTGTTGACTGAAGCCAAGTGTACGTAACACTTAAGTTCAAGGGAAGGAGTTCATGATATTCTTATGTGTCTTTAGGAATCCGGAAAGACCGCAGAGGTGGGCGAGTGATGAAACAAAAACGCCAAAGAGAGGAGCAGGATTCCAGGAATGGGGAGGCTTCTTCAACAGAGCTGCGAGCTCCCACCCTTTGGACAAGTCCACTGGTGGTTAAACATAACAAGAAGAACAGCCCTGCCCTGTCCCTGACGGCAGAACAGATGGTCAGTGCCTTGCTGGAAGCTGAGCCACCTGTAGTTTATTCTGAATACGACCCAAACAGACCATTCAATGAAGCCTCTATGATGACCCTGTTGACCAACCTTGCAGACAGAGAATTGGTGCACATGATCAACTGGGCAAAAAGAGTTCCAGGTAAGGAAAAAAAAGCCCTAGTCAACTATAAAAGCAGTAGATCATAAAAAAAAAAAAAAAAAAAAAAAAAAAAACCAAAAAAAACCCCCACGCACTGATTTTCTGACTACCTATTCTTATTTAATTCAAATTGTTCATTTAAATATAAATACATTAACAAATAAAACATTAAACAAAGTTTGTGTTATATTGGCCAATAAAATGCTATAGTGCAATGTAAGTGACTTTTGAGGAAAGATATATTCAAGAAAAGGCATTTCCCCCACTCCCCACTCTGTAGGATGTTGGGCAATTATTTGTTTGCAAATACTGTTTTTATTCCATACAAAACTCAGCAAAATTAAATGTTGAAAGAGATTATTGGTCAAATCCAGTCAATTTGATCTAGTCAAATTATGTTAGTATTTTGATCTCCCTAGAAAAGGGTTACTCTCATATATGTAATGTAAGCCATAAATTCAGGATCACTACTAAGTCTGTTAATTATTATTATGATTTATTTAGTTGCCAGGTTATAGTTTTGACTGTGAATTACAGATCTTTCATGAATTTTAGGTTTGAAAAACAAATCCAGAATAACAGTTTTAGTATGAAATTATTTTTAGTGCACCGTGATTCCCTCTTTTCCCAAAAGGAATTACAGAATTGTGAGAAATACGTAACTTTTTTTTTTTGAGTGTATGTTATATATTCATTCATAGAGTTCAATTAATCAATATAAATGAAATGAGAGAGCAGTTTTGTTGTTAAAGCTCATCACCTTTCAAAGTTTCAATCTACACAAATACTCTCCATAAGTTAAGATTTAAAAAATTGTAAGATGTATTGCACGACATAGTTTTATCTTGGTAAAAATACTCTCATACATGGTAATTTATACTTCATAATTCACTGGAGTTCTGATCTTTTAAGTTTTTTACTGTAGCTATTTATTTAATTAAAGTTAGTAGATGCTTTAGGAAGGGATGATAGAGACGAGTAACTCTCACTCACATAGTGCACTACCTCAAAAGAATTACACCCAGGTTATGCCATCTTTCTGTTTTCCTTCATTTAAGCTTGGCAAGACTGTTCCTGGTAAATCAATAACCGTGTCTTTTCCAGTCCTTAAGGGTTCCCTTTCAGCCACTTTTCACATGTCACTTTGTGGGCTCCAGCTATGATCAATGAGAACCTGTGTGTGTTTCATTTCTCATCGTATCTTATAAGAAATCACTTGAGAATTTTATTCTTGACAAAGTCATGGTGGTTGAAGCCTGATCTACAGTCTGTTCAAGTCAAGGGCAGTTCTGCAGTTAATTTAGGTATGTTTTGCATCATGCCGTTACAAAAATGCTTTTGAAAAATGAACCTATGTACATAGTGTTAAATCTGTTCACTATCAAACCAGATAAATTCAAATTACCTTTCTATGAATTTTAGAGATATAATTACTCTGATTCTGTTAAAATAAATTAATTTAAATTCAATATTAATATACCACAATCTAAATTAATTATGTTGTCCAACTGGAAACATTTGGTTTCCATGACTTTTGATTTTAAGAGTATTAATGGAAATGTGTTTAGAAATGAAGTAACATTGTCAGAGAACCAAGATCTGTTTTTTTATTCAGAAATATCTCTAGAACTGCCTGTTACAAGATGATTAAAACTGGATACAAAAATTACCTGGTTTACCAAATATAAACTTCAAATTTTAAGAAAGTGTCTGACACTGGAAAATCAAATGTGTAAGGTTATCAACTGTTTGTGTATATCCAATGTATTATAGATTCAAATTTACATTAATTGTCAAAATAGCTCCTAAGGAGAAACCAAGCCCTGTGGCTTGACCATGTATATCTATTAATAAATACTCCAGCAGGTGAGGTTTTCTACAGAACTGTTGAAATTTGGCTAGAATTAAATAATAAAAATCCTTTCCCATTCATAGTTTGATCTATTATACACTATACAAACAATTATATCAAAGGAAAACAATACTTATATCTAAAGCAGTACAGAGAGAAAAAAAGAGTTTGGGGGTTCTGAAAGTGCTGGACACCTAGCTGGTTCTTGATGTTGTGGCTTGGAGAACAGGATGCATGAACAAAAACTGAAATTAAAGTGCTTTAGAAAGTTGATTTAAAATAATTCAGGTCCAATTGTTTACCTTCCTCTACAACTGGGGTCTCTGAGAAAAAGAAATTAGATCTATGTGCTTAAATATCTATTTTTTAATCTCTTACTTGGTCTCTAGGAAAGGCTGTGTGTACCTAGTTGCTGATATTAAATTTTAGAAGTACCGATCGCTTTTCAAAGATTGGGTCTTTGCTTGCTGAAGTATTCTGTCAGAATATATTGGCAATACATATACATTAATGGAAATGTGTCTGACAATTTAAATAGCATTTTCACCCGCACAGCATGTTGCCATTGACTACTCCATTATTACTAGGATTTAAACTATACAGTTTAATTAGAGAGGATTTTTGTATATGCTATTCATGAACAGGGGAATTGAATAACTTTTTAAAGTATTTGATGTAACAGCACTGTGGGAATCCACTCAGTTATTTTTTCAGCTAATTTACTAGGGTTTCAAGCTTCATGATCAAGGGTACGAATACCCTTTTTTCCTAAAAAGTGAGTGAACTTTTTAGAAATAGAAAAAAATCAGTTGCAGGAAACAGCTTCCCCTACACACATTTATCAAGCCTGGAAACATTATGCAAGTTAATTTACCTACATGCAGGATGTAGGCAAGCAAGGAGTAAAGTCTATATGAGTGGCTGCGTTGAAATAATATTTCATAGTGATCACAGAATCACAGGATATGCCATGTTGGAAAGGACCATTGGGTCCAAGTCCTGGCCCTGCTCAGCACCATCCCCAAGAGTCACAACATGTTCCTGAGAGCACTGTCCAAATGTTTGTTGAACTCTGTCAGGCTGGTGCTGTGACCACTTCCCTGGGGAACCTGTTCCACTGCCCAATCACCCTCTGGTTGAAGAACCTTTTTCTAACACCAACCTAAATCTCCCCTGATATAATTTCAGGCCATTCGCTTGGGCCCTGTCAAGACAGAGAGAGATCAGTATTTGCCCCTCCTCTGGCCTCACGAAGAAGTTGCAGAGTGCAGTGAGGTCTCCCCTCTGTCTCCTCAGGCTGAACAGACCAAGTGACCTCAGCTGCTCCTCATACGGCTTCTCCTCCTGGCCCTTCACCATCCCCATGGCCCTCCTTTGCACGCTCTCCAGTAGCTTAATGTTGTTATGTTGTGTCACCCAGAACTGGCCCCAGCACTGGAGGCGAGCCCACCCCAGCTCAGAGCAGAGGGGACAATCCCCTCCCTTGCCCAGCTGCCCATGTTGTGCCTGATGCCCTCAGGACAGGGTGGGTCTCCTGGCTGCCAGGGCACTGCTGGCTCCTGTTCAACTTGCCACTGACCAGGACCCCCAGGTCCCTTTCCGTGGCACTGCTTGCCAGCCTCCCACTCCTCAGTCTGTCTGTCTACATCCAAGGTTGCCCCAACCAGGTGCAGAATCCAGCACTTTCCCATGTTAAAATTCTTATGGCTGGTGATTGCCCAGCCCTCTAATTTATTGAGGTCCCTCTGCAGGGCCTCCCTGCCCTCAAGGGAGTCCACAGCTCTTCCCAGTTTTATATCGGCTGTGAACTTGGTCAGTATCCCTTCCAGTCCTGTGTACAAGTCATTTATGAAGATGTAGAAGACCACAGGGCAGAGGATGGAGCCCTGTAGAACCCCACCAGTGGCATGTCACCTGCTCTATATCACCCCATTCACTGTAACCCTTTGTGCCCCACCCGTGAGCCAGGTGCTCACCCACTGCATGATCCTACAAGGTAATTTAAACAATTCCTTTTAACAACCCCTGAACACACACACACACATATACTTTAGCCTATGTCTCAACCCCAAAACTATATTGGTTAGTGAAGCCTGAATACTTTTTTTTTGAAGAACATAATCATATTTTTAGTGTTGAATGTTGATCAATGAAAATAACTTCTATTGATAAAAGTAATTACTCATCTTTGAGCTAAGGTATGAAAACAGCTTTGTCCTGGATATTTTTTTCCAGAAGCATACTGTGAGAGAGTATTGGAAGCTTTACTGAAATCCAAAAAGATTACATTTTTTGAGAAAGCAAGAAATTTATATCAACAGAGCAGAAAAGCAATGAAGATACAGTTTACAAAAATATGTAAAGATTTTCAGGGACATTTTTGGAGTTTATTTTTCTGTGTAGGCTTTAAAGAATAGTTTTTGGTCAGCCAGTCTTTCTGATTATATAAATAAGTGGGTGTGAAAGAAGAAACAGCTAATTAGATGTATTGGATAAAAGTGAAAATATTCTACAAAATGGAGTAATGTAATTTGTGATAGATTGTGTAAAATAATGTAGGCAGAGATCCATTATAAAGAAATGCTGAGGAAAGTCTTCAAAATGAGATGAGTACCTTGTAGACATGCCCTGATTGTGAGGGTCAGAACTAGTCTCAATCTTTATTGCAACTAATTCAGCATCAGTTCAAACTTGTTTAAATTGGCTCTGCAAACTTGGTTGTGTTAACCAGTTTCTGGGAAAAAGAGAACTTGTGGCAGCTTCTTATGCATAACCTCAAAAAACCTCTTCAATACCTAAATATAGCATGATTTTTGTCTGAGGTCAGAACCAAGTTCCCCTATGACAATGCAATTCATTGTATGCCAAATACATAAAAGCCTGTTTTAATTTTTTAAAAAACCTTTGTCACTAATACAAAGTGGGTTTGCCCAATTAAATGAACAAAAATCTTGTACAGTGTCCTATGACAAAAACAAAAAATTCAGGATTTACTCTTTAGGTGGCCTAATGGGGATTTAGGCTGCAGTCCTTCCAGGTGGCCTCTGTAAGATACTGAGGGTGTCTTTTGACTGCCCCAGCCTGTTGGAATAGCTGGCAGCTGCCCATGAGGTGAATGCAAACAGATTGTGGTGGGCTAGACATTACA